ATACCAGGTGTGTCTGTAGGGAACCTCAACATGACCTGTGAGCATATGAAGAAAAACATCAGACTTTCTTTTCCGATGACGGTCAAATGGAAATTCAACTAAGCAAAATTGTATAGGGAAATACTTGACGGCCTCACTGACTTCAGTAGGAGACTTGCAAAGTTAGGAAGTCCAGCGTCATGGTTCATTTTACTTTTGGAAGTCAAACGCGGCTCCATAATCCCATCATGTTGCCGCCACCTGTGACTCTGTTGAAACCATCCTGGGTCACGAAACTACATCATTAATGATGTTTCCACACATGCACAAAACTCCTTGAGTTGAGCCGCATGTGAGAACACAAAGGTTCAAATATTTCACCTAGACTGAACCCCAACTTTTTACCTGCAAGGTGTCAGGATGAGCTGATTTGTGATTGCAGCACACAGAGGTTTTTAGTCGCAAGGTGCAGAACAAAGCGTTACAACATGTCACAAAAAGTAAGGACATTTGTGTTTGGTAGATTACTTTGTTGTAACAATGCTTCTTGGCAATAAATATTATACTGTTGGAAAGCCTGTTTATTTCCCTTTTAAATGGTGCCACATTTGTAAGGAACATGCATTCTTGGGAAAAGCAGCAGAGTTGACTAGACGGGTTGCGCCCGTTAAAAACTTCATTGTGAGGAGAAGATCGTAAAGAATTAGAAACCACAACTCTGAATGAATTAATAACAGAAACGCCTTATAATATTCAGAAAGTTATACAAAGTGGCCTGCTATCAGGAGGAATCCAATCTCTTTGTTCTCCTCAGAAGGGAAAAACTATCCATCCATTATCAATACCGCTATTCCCAGCCACACTCACATTCACACTAGGGGTAATGTAGAGTCTCCAGTTAACATAACGAGCATGTCTTTGGACTGTGGGAGGAAGCTGGAGAGAGGGAACCCACACATGCCCGGGGGGAAAATGCAGACTCCACACAGAGAGACTCCTGTCAGCAGATGAGGCCTTGCTGTGAGGCAATAGCTCTAACCACCGCACCACTGTGCAGCCCGGGGCAAAACTAATTTATATTGTTTTTAACTTTTACACTTTGAAAATGTCTTGACAATCAATCTAATCACTTCTTTCATGTTGGGAGGATAAAGAGTTGAGTTCCAACAGCAGGTGAATCACATTAACTAGATCAAGGTGAAATGAAAATACATTTGCAAAGCAAAGTTGAGGATGTGAGTGAAGGTGACATCTGTGACATCACAGACGTACACTAGCATATATATGAGGAGGCAACAGAGGAGGGAGCCGTCGCAGTGGAACCCGAGCCTCACCTGTAACAGAAGACGCTTTGAACGCTTCCTCGCAATTATCTGTAAGATTCAGCACCATGCAGATTGTCGTTTTGAGCATGCTTTTGATTGTTAATGTGTCAGCACAGTTTGGAAAGCATGTATATGTGAATATTTCAAAGCGATGGCAAGAAGCTCGAGACTACTGCAGAGATAAATACACTGATCTTTCCCCTTTCACTACACCATTGGATCAAGAGAGACTGAAAAATGCAACAATGGAGATGACAAAGTTGGCCTGGATCGGCCTCTACAAAGACAAGGAACAAATGTGGAGGTGGACTGGAGAAGAACTCGCAACAAATATACAAACATGGGCTGATGGAGAACCTCTGGACAATGAGACATTTGCTGCGACTTGCTGGCATTGTGACCGAAAAGGGTGGCATGGTGTCAGATCAGATACAGAAATTCCCTTTTTCTGCTTCAACCTGATGGTGGATGACGTGAAGAAGACCTGGGAGGAGGCTCTGGAGCACTGCAGAGAAAACTCACACTGACCTCACCAGCCTGAACTCTAAGACTGAGCGGCGCCTGGCCCTGAGCGAGATCCAGCACGACCACATCACAGAGCGGGTGTGGATCGGCCTGCGTTTCCTTGGTGATCGCTGGCTGTGGGTGGACGGTGACCCTCTGGTGTACGAGGCCTGGCCCGAAGGAGACCAGGAGCACCAGTGTCTTCTCAGGAAACGCTGCGGAGCTCTAACCAAAGAGGGACACTGGGAGAACTGGGACTGTGGGGAAAAACTCCACTTCATCTGCTATTGAATCTGTCATGTTATTGATGTTTTAACAGAGGTGGGCACAGTGAATAATTTGTTTTAACTTCCATTCATTCGTAAAAAACATCTATTCTATGGAAAAAAAAACGAATTCATCAGATTTTCGCCATGTCAATAGATCCGAGTTCTTAAGATGATGAATTAGAAATCTCAAAATTACACACGTGTCTGTATGACCAATCTTCAATTAACAGAAACTTTTCTGACATGTCATCACCGTCTTCACTCGAGCATCACTCCAGAAATTCATGTAGGTGACGCAGCACTTCACAATAAAAGCACCGGGGCAGAGAAGGGCATTTTGGCTCGTTATCCAATAAGCTCTCTGAACTGCAGCAGGCGCTACGCTCTGGTTCATCATGAGTGAGCAGGTTTTTGATGTTAACTTTGCTTCTTTAGTGACATTTCAACGTCTAAAATGAAAAATATTTTGTTTAGTCAATTGTTTTTTTAGTTGTAATGGTCATGATTTTAACACTAGGCATGCTTCAAGAAGTTGTTTTACACTTCCACCCTCAAACACTAACGTAAGACAACGTACTGTTATGCATCGAGGCATGAAGATGTGGAATGATCTTCCATCAGATTTTGCAGACGATCTCCTTGGTGTGTCAGGGCCTTTACTCTGCATTGTTTAAGTAGGAACAATAATTATAAGATTTGTCCAACACTGTATTTTATTGATTGCATAGATATAACGTGAACATATGAGAGATTTCCTTTTTGACTTGCAATAGGTTTATATCTTAGTGTTCTTGATTTGTACTTTGCCTGTTAGTGTGCTGTCATTTATTCTATTTTTGTATTTTTATGTTCCGTCTTGGACTTTCAATAATTTAATTTGTGTTGTTTATAAAATTCATGTTTGTATGAGTGGACCACAGGAAGAGTAGTTGCTAATGGGGATCCAAATAAACAAATAAATTACAGTGTAAAAATTGAATTTCCCCTCACAGGATTAATAAAGTATATCTTCTTCTTCTTCGATTTAATCATGTCTATAAACCCCTCTATTTCAGCGCTGCTCAGAACAGTCTGTTTCTGTGTCTGTACCTTTAAATATGTAAATGAGCTGTGTCTGACCACGCCCCCCTCTCTGGAAGGGTTTGGGTGTCTGGCTTTCTCACTCCATGTCCTACTGTTTACATTGAGAAGGCAGACTCAGAGGGCAGAACAAACACCTAGCTGTGGGAGTGTCACCCACCTGGGGGAGGGGCTACTGCCCTTTGTGATGTCATGAAGGGTAAAATCTGGTATCATGGCAACTCTAACAGAAATAAATCAAAACCTCATCTGAATTTGAACTTGTTCAAAAAGTCAAAATGAGATTAGTTTTAAAAAAAAAGAGAAACTTTATTGACATTAAAAACCAGGCGGGAACAGGAACAGCATCCGTCTGAGCAAACACCTGAACAGACCGAATACCTACAATAACAATGAGCACGTACAATATAAAGTCGCAGTAACACAGGAGCAGCGACTACAGGAGTGGTGTTTGGGTGAAGAGACTTCCAGGTGTGATTTATGGCACAGTTTTTTTGGACCGTCGGGATAGGATAGTTCTCTCCTGAGCCGGAACAGGTCAAACAGGAATGTATTTTGACTGAATTTGAAAAAAACAAAACAGATAACTGAGGTCAAGGATGTGCACATATGATGTCTGGATTAGAATATATTTTTTACTTAAAGTGTGTCTGTGAGTTCAGCCATGTGGATATGTTGAAGACTTTTTATAAGTGTAACGCAGTTGTAAGATAAAAAGTCAGAATTCTTTCACAGTTTGTGTTTCACCATAAACACTGAGGCGTTTAGAAACAAACTGAAGTTATCCTCTTGTAATAAAACCTTCCATTATAACACAAATCACATTTTAGAGAGCACACTGTCATCTTACTGACTTTAAAAACAGTCCTCATAGTGTTTACTTCAGAGAACGAGATGTTTCTCTTCAGACATTAACGTCTTTAAAGGAGCAATATGTAAGATATCTACTGAACTTTAAAGTGACCTTACTATCTGATCAGACATTAAGGAAACATGCTATGTTGAAGTGCTGGCTTCTCTGACAACAATGCAGCAGCCAGTATGTCCTCCTTCTAACTTTAGATTCTGCTCCTGAAGGCTCTGGATTTGTTTGGACCAGAGAAGGTAGGCGGTTTTATCCTCTGTAACATGGGGTACAATCTAATCACTAGGCCATCTGCGCCCCATCAGAAGGCAGTTTAATTAATACATTTTGGGGCGATTTATGAGCTCTGTGAGCACTTGTGATTGTCGGAGCCTAAAAACAATAAAGTCTGCTTGTTGTTGACGTTAAAGAAAAGATCGCTCAATCCAAAGCACGTATCATAAATATGTGCAGAGCTCCTTTTGGTTACTTCAGCAGACGAGACAGTGTCCCATTTCTCTTCGCAACATTTAAAAAAAAACTCAGGGTTACAGGCCCTCTGGGAAAGGCCTTTTTAAAGTGCTGGATACACGTCAGAGCGTCCAAATGTAAAAACGAGAGGAGGAATGAGATCACGTCACAGCAGGGAGCATCACTCCAATCCAAGATTTACAGAAGAGTGTGTGTCAGGTGCAAACTTACACACACAAACATTTAAATACCAACACACATACACACACACACACACACACACACACACACACACACACACACACACACACACACACACACACACACACACATACATACACACACACACACACACACATACACACACTATATACACACACACACACACACATACACACACACACACACACACACACACACACACACACACACACACACACACACACATACACATACATACACACACCACACACACACAACACACACACACACACACACACACACACATTTATCCACCTGGTTCCTCTTTTTAGTTCTTGGTTTTGCTGCTCCTCCTCGACTCCCTCGTTCACTTTCACTTTCAGGACTTCCAGTGAGAAACTTCTGTCAGTCACAAACTCAGACGTATCCGGTCTCGGTCTCGTCACGGCTCTTCAGGATTTGAGGCCCATTCGAGCCATCAGCTGTTCGTAGACAGTCCAAGCCATGGCGGCCATGAGAGTGCGTCGCAGAGACCTGGGTACGGCCCCGCGGAAAAACCCAGCCACGCCGTTCTCCTGAGGGCGAGCGAGGACAGAGAGGGGTTAGATTTGTTTTTGAATGTTACGAGCCTGAAATAGGCCTGAACTGACCACAACACAATCCTAACAGCTTGCATTATTCATTATTTATTGTTAATTATCTTTTTAAAAACACAAAGGACAAATACAAAACAACATAACTGCTGCTACCTTTTTTTTTATTGCTGCTGCTATTTTATTATAAATCTGTACCGGAGAAGAATTTGACAACATTTCAGACAGTGCTGATGCGCTCGGCGATGAAACGATTGTGCAACATAAAAAGCATTTTGTTTCCTCCTCATCTTTTGTTTTGGTCACATGTAGCCTAACCTTTGACCTCCCAATCGTTGTGTTTAACCCTCAGTCATCAGTTTAATTTACGACCCTCTTAAGTCACTAAGGACAAAAATGTCCATTTCCAAAAATCTGATATAAAAATAGAACAAATTGAAAATGTTCCTACTTTTTTCTGCATACATCTCTTAAACAACTTCAGCCCTGCTCAAAACTACCAAACATTCAATCATTTTTTAGGAATTTAACCCTTTAAATGCCAGTTTGATTACTTGATATTGTTATTTATGAAAAAAAAGAAGAAGTTATTTTTCATATAACAAATATTTGGTGGCTGGGGGATTTTTTTTTAATCAGTTTTGGATATGTCAAAGATTATCCAAAATATTGACTTTGATGCATTGTTAGTTTTTGTGTAGCATCAGATTTGAAATGTAGTTCCCTGTTTGGACACTGGAGGGCGAAAATGTCCAATTTACAAAAAACTGCTATAAAAATAGAACAGATTCATGTTTTTTTCTACTTTTTTTTTTTTGCATAAATCTCTTAAACAACTTCAGCCCTGCTAAAAACTATCAAATATTGAGTAATTATCAGGAATTTAACTCTTTAAATGCCAGTTTGATAACATGATTATGGCATTTAAAGGGGTTAAATTACTGATAATTATTCAATATTTGATAGTTTTGAGCAGGGCTGGAGTTGTTTAAGAGATAAGAGAGAAAAGTAGAAAAATATATCAATCTGTTCTATTTTTATAGCAGTTTTTTGTTCAGCTTGATTGTAACAAAAATGTCCATAATGATGCAAGAGGTTTAAGTGCAGTAGACAAAACTCGACACTTGATTTTATAAGACTGGAAAGCAGAATCTATAAGCCCGAATGTTAGTGATTTTCAGATTCTGATTTGATGATCAGATGTCATCATTTGGGAAAAAAAAGCTTCCTGCACATTTTGATGATCTCAGCTGTGATTGGCTGAGGTGGGTGCGTCTCTCACCTTGAGGCAGCGTCTTCTTGGCCTGGCTGTAGAACATGACGTAGATGCCGGAGAACGGAGCGTCCCGGAGCAGCGTTGCGGTCAGGCCCGAGAACAGAGCCCTGAGTCCCTCCGTCTCGTACACGCTCCTCAGGGCGCCGGCCACGCTCACGTAGTTGTAACAGCCGCTCTGAAACGCCATCAAACATGCCAAGTTCACCTCGAAACACAAAGCTACATACTTTGGTTTAAATGCTCCTTTTGTGGTGATTATTCTACAAGTTTATCACAGTCGATGTGTGGAGGTTATAGTCCTCCACACAGCGGACATTTATCATCAATATACTGAAAACAAATGTGTGTAAAGAAAGTCAGGCTCACCTCAAAGCGGGTCTTGATGACAGTGAACGGCAGCATGGAGACGCCGGCCACGGTTCTGGCGCCCGCTCCGAGCAGAACGGCCTCCCCGGCGTTGGGCGCCTGGTCCAGGAAGAAGTGCTGCTTCAGGGAGTAGAAGGTGCTGAAGTAGATCCCCACCCCGGGGATGCAGCGCACAAACGACTGTGAGAGAAAAACACAAGAAGAAGCACACATATCTCTAATTTCAGCTTAATGTGATGATTCAAAGTCTTATTAAACCTTTAAATATTCAACACTTAAAAAAACGAAATCATTTTTAAGCTTTATACGGATGGGAAGCTATTTGTTTGGTTTCATAATAAAGTCTGCCCAGTCTGAGACCGAGTCAAAATGATTTTGATTCCCGATTCTGAGACCTTTAAAAAAACGTTTTCTCGAGACCAAGACTGATTTCAGGTACTGCAACACTAGTCTGTACAACATTTTCCGAGTGTCTGTCCGGCTCTTAGAGTCTAAAAGAGAAGAAACACTTATTTAATCTGACAGACGAAGTGAAGGATGTCAAAATCTATTCGATTCAATTTTCAATACCACGTCAGTGTTTCTCAAAATACTGGAGAGGGTCGCCCAAGTATATTTCAGACTTTTTTACGCACTTCTGAGCAGTCTCAGAAGTGCTCAAAGCCCTCAAACTCCTCGACTAATGACTTGAAAACTGAAGGATTGACTACCTGTAACATGACAGTCAGAAAAAACAGTAGGGGAATTTATATGCCTATTGCTAAAAGAGTCAAACAAGGAGCCAGAGGCTATAAAATGTTCATTAAAGACACCAAGCATTTTGGACTTATCAGTGACTTTAAGTGAGTCCTTAACAATGCATGGAGGAAGCTCAATTCCATTTTTATTTCCAGCCAGGGATTTAATTGTCTTCCAGAATTTCAAGGGATTGTTTAGGTTGCTTGAGGTTTCTGTGAGGAAATGATCAGCTTTGGCTTTCCTAATTGCAACTGTGAGAGCATTGTGCATCTGCCTGTAAAGCAGCCAGTCCAAATCCAGACCTGATCTCCTGGCTTTTGCCCATGCTATATTTTGCTCATGAAGTGAGTTAGATAACTCTGGAGTGAACCATACATTATTTCGGCCTTTAACTCTGTACTTTCTGAGGGGAGCGTGCTTGTCCACAATTTTTGTGAAACCATCATAAAAGAATTTCCATGCACTTTCAACATCAGGAATATGATGCGTTTTCTGCCAGTTAAAATTAAACAAGTCTTGAAAAAACCCCTTTTGTATTTCTCACTGAGGCAATAACACGATGGTCACTAATGTCATTTGCAAAAACAGAAGCGGTTGTGTATTTACGAGGAGTGTTTGTTAGAACAAGATCTATTAGAGATGATTTTTCTGGACGTTTAAGATTGGGTCTAGTGGGGCTATTGACAATTTGAAAGAGGTTTAGAGAGTCACAGTAAGCTTTAAAATCATCAGATACTGGTTTTAACCAGTTCCAGTTAAAATCTCCAATAATGACAATTTCATTAAACTTCAATTCTGTTAAAAGCTGCATCAGGGTGGATAGTGCACTGCTGACAGCTGAAGGTGTCCTATAGCAACCAACAACAGTTATATGGAGAGATTTCAATATCTCAAGATCAAGAGCCAACAATTCAAACGGCTTACTCTCTGACTTGGAGAGAAGCACATTTGCATGAAACTTGCTTTTTATATAAATCGCAATATCCCCTCCCCCTTTGGGCCGGTCAGTCCTAAATATATTATAACCATCGATACTAATATCCTTGTTCAGAACAGATTTCAACCAAGTTTCAGATAGAACAATTACATCAGCATCTGTTGAGTTCGCCCAGATACGAATCATGTCCATTTTAGCTATTAAACTGCGTACATTCAGATAGATGAAACCAAGACCAGACCTTGATTTAAAGTCAGCAGGAGTGTTAAAATTTCTAGCAGAATCTGGACCTGGATTGGGTTGCACATTCCCTGAAATCAGCAGCAACAGAACAATAAGACACCTCTGTTTAAGTGATTTGGAGGAGGTATCTTTCTTAGAGTCCTCCAGTACAAAATCACAAGCACAGTTTATGGAAATGGTAAAATTGTCTTGCAAAGCCATTATACTGCGAGACGGGACAAGACCACAGTGTCAGATGAAAAAAAAAGGGTGTAGGGGTAACGATTTATCCAGCGCACAGCCAGATGCACACGTTCCTCGGTATGTTGCATTCATTCGATCTAGGTCCTCCAGAACGGTTGAGTAGGTAGGTTATATAAACTACATTTCACACAGCCGATAGTCCCAGTAGACACAACGTGGTGGACAGATTTAAAGTTTACCGATATTTTATTATAGACTTTACAGAGATGAAAAGTCTAATACACAAAATGACACACAGACGCACTGACAGGTAAAGATGTGCTGCCATCTTATGAAGAAATGTGTAAGTACAACCAACCACCGTATTCAAGGCCTAATATTTAAACACACTGTATTTTTAAAAATCCCTCTATTTTGATCATTATTGAAAATACGAGGGCTGCTGGGTCCTCTGTTTTTGCTGAAATCGTTCTATATTAGCACCACAGACCGTAGACTACAGGTGGTAAGATATGTTGTATTCTGTTAGAAACTGATAGTCTGCAATGTGAGTCATGTCTGCTTTTCTAATATATTTAAATGAACAGTAAATCAATTGTTTTTTGTATCTTCATTTAGGCAAAGAAGAGATAAAAGCAGCTGGTCTGACATCTTCCACAGAGGTGAAGTGTAAGTTAAAATCATCTGTTAAAAGTTATATATCCTGTGATTTCGTTTTAAGTTTCATAAAGAGGATTGTCAAAACAAGATATTGTTAACAATACAGTCTTCAAAATAAAATAAAAATCACAGTCATACACCAGCTAAATGTTAAATAGAAAGGTGATGTTTTCTTTCCCATTTTAAAATGAACAGAACCTAAAAATGACTCATTTCAACCTTCATCTGCACACCTGTTCATCTGCACACCTGTTACAGAGGTCAGGCTGGGGTCACAGAGTTTGAAGGAACCTCCTCCTTTTTTCACCTGTGCCCGATGCCCTGCTCATCCACTGTGGGAGAAATGACCTTACACCAGCAGCTCTCCCAGATGAAGAGTCCTCTCTGCCATCACCCAGAGGAGCTGATCGACGTCTGAAGAAGGTGGACAGAGTCTGGAGCTTTGTGACAGTGAACAGTGAGAAGGCTACCATAGTCATCCTCAGATAAAACACAGAGTCCAGGTCAATATTTAATTTATTTTTCTTAACATGATGTTGCCCTGTGTTTCCAGATGCTGGAGGGTTGTGTTGGATTTGCTTTTCCATCATACTTTAACAGTCAAACAATCATCCAGGATCTCTTTACTTTATTTGATTTTTGTTTGGATTTCTTTGTTAAATTATGTTTTATACTTTCTCCTATGTCCCAGCAGTTCGACCTGTTGGTCTCCCTTACTTATTTTCCACATGGTTCATGAAGCCAGGAGTTGTTTATTGAAGATTTTTTTTTCATAAAATGTTTAAATAAACTTTTAAAAAATCTGATATGACTGTTTCTGATTAACTGGAGCACTACAACATGTTGGTCACAGTAAAATAATTTAGCAACAGCAAAGCTAACAGACGAGCTCAGCTTGTCACAGCCGGACTCGTCTGAGATAAATGGCCTTCAAACTTATTTAATATTAAACATTTAAAGCCAATAAGCATAGCAAGATACGCATGAGATTCCATTTCCATTTATTCAATCACACACTTGTCAAACAGTCTGGCATGTTGTGCTGCTGTTTTCAAGAGTTAATAACTGAAGAGAAGAAGACCATCGAGAGAGGACAGGAAACACTCAGGGGACGAGTCCTCCACGTTGTCGGGGGACGAGTCCTCCACGTTGTCGGGGGACGAGTCCTCCACGTTGTCGGGGGACGAGTCCTCCACGTTGTCGGGGGACGAGTCCTCCACGTTGTCGGGGGACGAGTCCTCCACGTTGTCGGGGGACGAGTCCTCCACGTTGTGGGGACGAGTCCTCCACGTTGTCGGGGGACGAGTCCTCCACGTTGTCGGGGGACGAGTCCTCCACGTTGTCGGGGGACGAGTCCTCCACGTTGTCGGGGGACGAGTCCTCCATGTTGTCAGGGGTTGCTGATGGATCTGAATCTGAGGGCAAAAAACAATCATGGAGTTAAATGTAAAGTATAATGAATTTGACTGTGATGTTTATGCTTCAGACCTGAAATCAGATCTGTCCTCAGGTTCTGCTAAACTTCAGCTTCTAAAGTTTGCCTTTATAAAAAAGTAGCTGATCATGTTTTTTGTTTTCCTATTAAAGACAGGATAACTATTTAAGAGGAAAAACAAATATATAATAAGACATGATGAATCCAATAATATGATCAGCTTTATGAATTTATGTGTTCCTGACACTTTCTATTGAAGATTATTTTAAACTGTCATCACATGGGCCAGCCTGATAAATTAAACTAATGTTAAATATTTTCATGACATAAATTACAATAATTAACTTTTGCCTATGACTTAGTAGCCAGGGATGTGAGCTAACAGGTGAAAACTGAAACAGCAGAATCAACCTGAGAGGCAGAAATCAGAGGCTTGTATATTTTAATATACATAGAGTTTATATTAACTCCGTGTTAGAAAGGACTGTGGATTACTTAGTATGAGTATGTAGGACTCCACCTTCTATCACTTTACCTGATAGAGTGATTCTTGTGTGTCTTGTACATGGAAGCCAATTGTCCTCTCTCTTCAAGTCAGTGTACCTATAGACAGGGACAGACAGATGAGCAGAACCGGTTCATACTGGTTTTTGTTAGCCATGAAAACTTTTATTTCTGAAGCGCAAACACTTCAACACATTTAGTTTAGACAAAACTCACTTTAGACACTAGGTGGCAGTATTTGGCTGTTGTTTAAGTTATTGATCAGTATTTGGGTCAGTTGTTGTATCTGAAGCAAGTTCAACATATCCAGGCTTCCTTTGAGAAAGCTGGTTCAGCAAAGCCAGAAGCCCCAGATAAAGATATCTGATAGCATGAGCTGATTATGAACTTTGTCTGTTAACTCAGGCGTTCTGCTTAAGGCTCTCAGCGTGTCACAGAAAGGGCGCGTGTGAAACGTCTTTTGACCATTCTTATTCACAAAAGCATCAAGTGCAGGCGGTCCAATATGATGAGGTGTGATGATGAAGTTAAAG